CAACAATTTATACTACAGCAGAAAAAGGTGAATAGTTCACAAATCAACTTGGATTGCTTTTTCCAAATATTTCTTCTCTTTGAGGCTTATCAATCCCTTCATATGAATGTACAAGATCAAGCAATTATCTTAGATCTGTTGTGGTGTTCAAAATTGTCCAGGAAGTGCTGTGGTATCACACTTGAACTGTAGACGTTCGGCATTATGCAAGCATGGGCTGGTTAAGTAGAGAGTTTTTAATCCATTGGTTACAAATCAAAGGACCATGCTGTTTGTTATCAACTAGTCTTTGGGATGTACAGCTTACAGGGAAAGCAAGGGCAAAGTGGTATTATAGCTAGACTATTAATCCAGAAACTCTGCTCATGTTCTGGGAACCTGGGTTGAAATCCTGCCATGGCAGATGGTGGAACTAGATTCCAAAATAAAATTTGGAATCAAGAATATACTGATGACCATGAAATGACTGTGGGGGAAAACCCATCTGGCTCTTGGGGAAGATAATCTGCCATCCTCACCCAGTCTGGCCTTTATGTGACTCCTGATCCATAGCAACGCAATTGACTCTAAACTGCAATCTGCAATGGCGTAGCAAGGCGAGTTTTATCGCTTTGACATCCCAAAGAAATGAAACTGGATACAGCACCTGGCATTGGCCTAGACAACAGCAAAGTCAGCCTTGCTGACCCTGCAAAGTCCTCCTCCCTTCTAACATCCGAGGGAGTGCGCCAAAATTGGGAGAGTCATCTCAGACTAGTCAAAGAACAGCCTAATATTCAATCACACAGAAATCATACCTAGTAGTGGAGTAGGGCTCATGGGCCAGAGCTCATCGACTGTTTTTTTCTCTCCATTTACGTTTTGGGAAGGAGCTCAATGGTGAAGGCAACAGCAGAGATGGCTGTGGATTGGGCCCAGACCAGGGATTTTGATGTTTGGCCATAAAGTGGCTGGTAAGCCTAGATGGTAGTTGGCAGCAAGACGACAGCCCTAGCAGGTGGGGTGGGGGGCACGACAACTGAGCATGTGAGACTGAGCCAGAGAGGGAGACCAAGCCAAAGACACAGACAGACAAGCTAAGCTGGTTCTGCAGGTGATGAGGGAACCAACAAGAAGGGAACATACAAGTACTTGCACTCTTCCTCACCAATCTGCTGGCTGCACACATCCTTGACAGTATCATTAAGAGTTACCAATGCACACAGTCTTAAGTGGAGACAGACCTGCCTTCGCATTGAGAATTACCACCCACCCCATGTTGTGCGGTAGTATAACTGTGCTAAATGGGACAGACTTTGAACAGATCTAGCAAAATCAATATTGGGCATCCATGAGGTAACAGGCCATCAACAGAAGAATTGTATTCCAGCACAATCTGCAACCTCATCGCCCTGTATATCCTCAGTCAACCATTACCATCAAGCCAGGAATCAACCCTTGTTCAATGGAGAGTGAAAGAGGGCATGCCAGGAGCAGAACCAGGCATACTTGAACATGAGGTGGGAACCTGGAGAAGCTACCAAATTGAACTACTTCCACAAACAGCATAAGCAGCAAGAGTGTTAATCATCCCACAATCAACTGATCAGATCCAAGTTCTGCAGTCCTGCCATATCTAGTTGTGAATGGTGGTAAACAATTAGGCTATTCGCTTGAGGAGCCGCCTCTACAAACATCCCCATCTCAGAGATGGAACAGCCTCTTACATCAATGCAAAATACTGAAGCATTCACAGCAATCTTTAGCCACAAGTGCTGATCCATCTCTGCCTCCTCCAGTCACCCCCAGCCTTCAGCCAGCTCGATTCACCCCATGTGATATCAAGAAACAATGGAGGGCTCTGGTTACTGCCAAGGTTATGGGCTCTATAACATTCCAGCAATAGTACTGAAGTCTTGTGCTCCAGAACTTCTTGTTCCCTTAAGCCAAGCTGGCAACACTGGCATTCACCAAGCAATGTGGAAACTTGCCCAGGTATGTTCTGTGAACAAAAAGCAGGACAAATCCAACCTGGCCAACTACTGTTCCAATCAATCAATCACTTGGCTCTCAATCATCAGTCAAGGTGATGGAACACGATGGCATTTTTGACACTAAGCTGCATCTGGTCAGCGATAACCTGCTCAGTGATGCCCAGTTTGGGTTCTGCCATATCCACTCAGCTCCTGATCTCATTACAACCTTGATTCAAACATGGACAAAAAAGTGAATACCAGAGGTAAGGTGAACGTAACAGCCTTTGACATCAAGGCCACAATTAACCAGAGACAGAGACATCAATGAGCAACAGGAGGCAAACTCTGCTGGTTAGAGTCATACCTGGAACCTAGGAAAATGGTTACTGTTGTTGAAAGTCAGTCATCTCAGCTCCAGGACATCTCTGGAGGAGCTCCTCACAGTAGTGTCCTAGGCCCAACCATCTTCAGCTGCTTCAATGATCTTCCCTTCATAAATGTCAGAATTGAGGATGTTCACGACTGGCACAATGTTCAACACTATTGGCAATTCCTCAGCCACAAGCAATCCACATTAAATCCAACAAGATCTGAGCAGTGACCAGGCTTGGGCTGACAAGTAGCAAGTAACGTGATGCCACACAAATGCCAGATAATAACCATCAAGAGACAGACAATCCAACCACCACCCCATGCCATTCAAATGGTGTTACCATCACTGAATCTCCCATCATCCTTCTGGTTACCATTGGCCAAAAACATAATTGGACTTGCCACAAACATGGCCTGCTCTTGCAGCCACGAGGCTAGGAATACTACAGCAAGAAATTCACCTGACTTCCAAAGCCTGTCCACCATCTACAAAGGTAGAAATCAGGAGCATGATGAAATACTCCTGCCTTGCCTGGATTGATGCAACTCCAACACTCAAAGCTTGACACCATCCAAGATAAAGCAGCCCACTTGATTGATCACATCCATAAGCATCCACTCCCTCCAATATTAAGATTCTGTAGCAGTGTAGAATCTCAAGATGCACTACAGAAATTCAAAGATCCTTGGACAGTAGCTTCCAAACCCATGACCACTTCCATCCGAGGACGACATGGGAATCAAATACATGGGAACACTATCTGCAAGTTCCTCTCCACTCACCATCCTGACTTGGAAATACGTAGCCGTTCCATTGCTATCACTGGGTCAACATTCTGGAACTCCCTCCCTAACAGCATGGAGTCATCCTACCACACAGACTGCAGCAGCTCAAGACACTCATCACCTGAACAGCAACTAGGCATGGGCAATAAATACTGACCAGCCAGCAGAACACGTTCCATGAATTTAGAAAGAAACCCTGGTGTCATACTTGCACAGACATTTGAGCAGCATTGTGTATCATTGTATGGTAGGCAGAACAATTCTTGCACAGATGTGATGTTCTGTTAATGCAAAATACCATGCCATACCCACAGCATGACAGCGATATAAAATAGCTTGTTTAACTTGTGAAAACTGAACTCTGCTTTTCCAGGAAAATGGGGTAGATAAAGCATTTTTCAGATCTGAAAAAGGCAACCTTTGATCCTTTTGCTAGTTTCTATGATATGTAACAATTGATGATTGCTTTAGTTCTGTGTCAAGCCTAGAAAATGAACAAACAGTTAGGACCTACCTTCATGATTGATGTCAAAATTAATCCTAAGCACATGGAGCCAAAAAGTCTTCATGTATATTGCTGACAAGTGAAAATAGGTTTGAGGCAGACCATGGCTGAGTACCCAAAACAAGACAGCCACTATTAGATGGGATGCCTATAACAATTTGGGGTAATCAAGGTCATTACACAGCTCACATATGCTTGCTAAAAGCAACAATTGAGTACCAAAATGAATAAAAAAAGGAATATATTCTGGTCTTGCAAATTTTTGAATTACCCAATATCTGTGTTGCCTTCGTTGCCATTGGAGAAAGCAGTCAACTTGACAACCATTCAGCACTCTTTTCTCCTGTGGTATAAAATTAGCCAAATTTCAAATGATTTCTTGAGTTTGTCCTGATGACTACAAGACAGTATTAGCAAATCACTTGGAGCAACATTAAAGTTCTGTCTTACAAAATTAAAATAAAATGAATTCCAAGTATTAAGTTTTGCAATCTGTTGGATTTAAGTTTTATTTAATGCCGTCTTGTTCAAGCAAGCTTTGCTTTTCTGTTGGGGATAGAAATCCTTAATGATGTAGTTGAAAAGTCGTGTGCTGAATGATTCCTTGTTTGACTTAAACTGTAATCTCAATGCCCCAGAACTCCAGCTCCATTCTGTTCTTCCACTCTTGATATGTAGTTTATTCCCAAATTTGTTGATTTCTCTCTACTTCAATTTTGAATATCCGCTCCCAAACCTGACCATTTTACATTTTATTAATCTTTAATTCATCTTCTTACCTGGTTACTCACTTGTTTAATATACAAAAAAAATGGTTCTTCCTCTTCCAAAAAAAAAAAGCACACAAAAAGTTATGGAAGTAGTTCATCTTCACTGTTCTGACTGCCCTCCATTTACAGTTTTTCATGTGGTTCTCCTGAGGATTTTGATGCTTATTACACCCCTCAGATGATACTCAGGTAGTGTCACTTTGGTCTTAAAAATGCTAGTTTTTGGCGACACCTGAGAACGTCACTATCATACATCTCTGAACAATGCCATATGCATGTTTATCAAATTTGAATAATTTTGATCTAATAATTTTATCCCATTCCTTCCCTTCATTTGCCAAACCTGATTCACAAGTTTATAATAAACATTGTATTCTCTAGATTCTAGGATTTGACTGCATCACCCTCCAGCTGCTTTACTGTAATAAGCACACCTTGATTTCATACTTCAGTGCAGAGATCAGAACGCTCATCTTGAAGCTAAAATTCCTCAGGTCAGTTTTTACTGGAGGATGTTTTGTGGTAGTTAAGTTTGATCATTTAGTTATAGCACCACTATGATTGAAAGAGTGCGTTACTCCATGCCAGATAGAAGTTCAGCCTACAATACAATGCTGTAAAAAATGTTATTTTATTTTGTAATGGTTCAACATACAATTAAAATGTTTAGCGGGCAAGGGCATCAGCTTTTAACACTTGTGTTTTTCAGCTTCATAACACCATAATACCCAAGCTTCACGTATACTGCAAGTCTAATGTTAGTGGTTAGAATCATTCTTATAGTTTACACTGCCATACAAATTTCACCGCTATGCACTGCTCACACAAAATAAAAAAAAAGTGTTCAAGCTGCTTATGCTCAAAAACAAGGTTCACATATCTTGCAGCAATTCTCCATGGCATCCCTCAATTCTATACAGTGGAAATAGCTCCTAATTTGAAATACACAACAATAAAAGTTTAAAACATGACAAAATTCAAACAATGCATCCAAATTAAAAAAAGGAAAGAACAAATTCTTATATACTATACATTCTAGGTTCCCAGCACTTCAGATTTAGTGGCATCATCCTGGCATTCCTTTTGAAACTGTTAAACAATTCAAATTGCCTTTTCTAAAAAGTTCTTGTGTCAGTAAACTTCAGCCAATATAAAAAGTGAATACACTGGCTGGTTGGTGGGGACTTGAGTCCAACAGTTCAAATCTTCCTTCTTTCACTTTCCCACTAATCTCTGCACAGGCTGGGTACTATAATTTGAAGGACAATACATACCTTTACAAAAAAAAAAAAAAAGTTTACCTATTTGAACCAAAATGCATAATTCTGAAGATGGTAGTCCCAATATCAAGTCAATTGAATTGTGTTCTGGGCTATTAGACCCAAAATATGGCACATTAACAGGATTAGTAAAAAGTTCCTTGCAGTACTGTCTGCATAATTTGTTTGCCACACTCCTGATGGATGTAACCTGTAAAGATTTTAAATTAAGGCATTTTCAGATAAGTTTCTATTTACAAGTTTTACACTGCTTTTCTACAGTACAGCCCAGCTTGATTATATGCAAATGTATCTGCTATTGTGCATTAGTGCCCCATTTGTAAAGCCAGAATCTGCCTCAAAATGCCACTTACAATTTACTTTGATATGACAAGTGCAGTAAAATCCATATACATGCAAGTCCAGCACATTAGGTAACAGAACCCCAGTTTGTCCCCATCCTAGTACAGACAAATTTGTTACATGCAAGTAACTCTCATTCATCTCAACCGATCATAAATGTCAGGATTCCAATGCCGAGAGAGCCCACCATCTGTTTCTCATTTTTCCTCAAAAACAATATTTCAGCCTTACTTGCTATGCAAGAAACCCACAGGATCAGATGAACACTAGTTTTGTGTCACACCTATTACTATTCAACAGATATTTCCTTCCATTGGGAGGGGAGTAAAACCATTATTGCACTTGATCAGTCAGTTTCAAGTGAGTGCGTTGTGTTAAAATTGCCTCAAGGAGTCTACCTTGTATGGGTCGTCGTCACAGCGTCACAAGCTTCTCAAGAGGCCATAGGTAGCAAGGAGCTCATTGAAATCAAAGGCTAGTATGATCAAATCCTATTTGTGACTAAAGGAAGAAACTAAATCAATTCACATGTGCAGATATAATACACAACCATTTGCAGTTTAAAAATTGGAGATCAGAATTTAACCCAGGCAGTTTCATAGTCAGGCTTCCCAAACTTATCTCCTGAGACCAAGACAGGTTTATTAAATTCCAGGAGACTGAACAACTAGATGTTGTCAAGTGCTCAATCTGCCAACAGCAAAGCAAAACTACTGACTACTGCTCCAGTAACTCAACTTTAAGTCAAAAGTGAAATTTCTCACCAATTTGAGAATTCCACTTTCACTCCAATTAATCTGCTAATAAAATTGCAAGCTTAAAACAGCATGCATTTGTTATTTAGTACATTAATAACATGAAAAAGGAGTAATTTATTCATGAGAAATTAGGGCTAATTATTTATAAATGCCATGTCTTTTTATTCATACTAGCAACTTGATTAGAACGTTAGGGAAAAAATAAATGGCATCACAGGCACATGGAATTTTCCCTATTTAATTTCCATGTAGCAAATATCAGCGAGATACTGGGACATAAACAAGCTGCTGTGCACTCAACTGCTGGAAGTATAGTTTGTCTTTTAACATGTAAGATTAGAAACTCATGGCATCAATAGTCTAAGCTTACTAGCAATGCTACAAAACTAGCATTCATAAAAAGGGAAAAGAAATGTTGAGCAGCCAATTGGAGCTGCCAAAAACCCAACTCAGCTCATTTAGAAAGAAAACAATTTTACAGGTTACTCTTAATACTTAAACTTTTTTTAAACCATCAATGCAGAAAGTTTTATCTCAGCTTGCAATGGGTCAAAATGAGTGCTTTTTAAACAGCAAGTGTCTTAGAAAATCCAGTGGTGAAAAACCGGTGCAACCTACTTAAAAGTAGACAGTGCTTTTTCCTTTAAAAGAAAGAGAAAATCTGGCAAGATAAAGTTCTGCTTAATGCAAACTATTTATCTTCCAAATTGCAGTACTCAAGCCCTGGTTTTTAAACCGGAGAAAGACGAAAAGCTCCTGTATAGAATCTATAAATGATGATAGTCCAGATTCAAAGTGTGATTTAACAAAAGTGCTTTGCCTTGCGAGAGAAATAAGTCACCATTTTTTATTGCAATTTAAATGATGACGAATGATTAACCATCCCCACGAGACCCATCCAAAAGAAACTCCCAATGGTAATTTATGTACAAAAAAAAACACAATTGAATCTGAAGCCCCGATACCAATTGACATCGCAAAAAAAAGCAACGCTTTGGATTGACATTAAAACTTCCTGATCAATTGTGTCCTCAAGTTGGCTCCAATTCATGCTGTGAAACCTGAATGTGTAAAACATTAGTGTACCTTCAATCACTTTGAAGGACAGTGAATGAAATGAGATACTTAGTATGCTTAGACTTCTAAAATGGTTTAGTCTGCAGAGTTTATAAAATGCAACATCTTTCCCGGATCCTTTTTGCTATGCTTTTCCGTTTCTTCTTTCCATTCCTTTCTTTACTATCTTCCATTTTTCTTGCACGTATTTCCCTCATCAAGTCAAAGAAAACCTACAAAGAAAAGAAACAGGCCTATAAATTGTACATAGGTTGACGTGGCATGCTAAAATATTAAATTTTGACATTTAAAGCAGAGACAGACTGAACTAAGTAGGGTAATACTTGGAGTTATGCATAGCCAAAGCAAAAATTGAGTGCATGTGGTATACATATCTGCACAGTTCTGCAGAATGCAAACTCATTTTCCATCGTTGCTTGTTTAAGATTTAAAGCATTTGGACAACAAAAAATCAGGAAAGTCACACCCATGACTTCTCAGGTGGCAAGGTCAGATTTCAGGAGCACCAATGCGAGATGCAGTACTGGCAACCAAAACAGCTCGGTATTGTTTCTATGTTTAAGATGTTATGCAAATGCAAGTTCCAGTAATTGAAAGGAAATGGATCTGTTTAATTGCCTCAATGACAGATTAAAGATTGTGCGCAGTACTCCAGTTGACAGATTGTGATGAATGGTGTCCCACAGGAATTTGTTGGGGGCCCTCAACTATTAACAGTACTAATAATAACTTAAGGATAGCAAGTCCCATATCCAAATTTTCCAACAGTCTTAAATGAAAAGCAATCTAATAGTTCTTCTATATTAGGGTAAGATCATAGCAAGTAAATTTCAATATAGATAAATGTAAAGTTATCTAGTTTGGGTGCAAAATGGATAAAGATACCCGTTAAGTGATACAAGCTAGAATCTGTGGAGCTGCAAAGAAACTTGGGAGTCCAGGTACAGAGATCATTAAATGCTACAAACAAGTACAGAAAATGCATTAAAGAACAGAACACAGCCTTTATATCTAGAGGAACAAGGTAGCAATCATGCTTCATCATTGTCATGCACTGATTAGATCACACTGAGTACTGAAAGTTTTAGCCCCCATGCTTTAAAGAGGGATGGATAAACCTTGAAAAAAAAAGTGGCAGAGAGTAATAATTAGACACAAGTTGAGATCAAACAAATTAATTTTATTTCCTGCAACAGGAAGCGCCACAGGATGATTTGGTCAAGCTTCAAGGTAGCAACATAACACAAGGTAGATAGGAAGAAGTTAATTTCCATTGGCCTGGGCATCCAAGTTGCCAGAGAGGAGCATGCAGAAATACTTGTGTGAAGAAAGTAGCTGACATTTGAAACTCCTCTACAAATGGTAAACGTTCTTTAAGAGATTTATTTTAAACAAGACATAGATATTTGTTGACCAAGGTATCAAATTATATGGGTCAAAAAGGTGGGTGAAGGAAGTTTGGTCACAGATCAAGCATGATTGCAGTTAATGACAGAAAAGGCTTGAGGGAGCAACTTCTTTGTACATGGGATGTTGGCGTTGCAGGCAAGACCAACATAAAATCACCCATTCCTACTTGCCTTGAGAAGGCTTTACCAAGCTACCACTTTGAATACTGCAGTCAGGGTGTAGGGACAACCACAGTTGTTAGGAAGTTCCAGAATTTCACCCACTGACATTGTCATGGCAGGATGGTGTGTCATTTGAAGGGGAATTTGGTTTCACATGTATTCACTGCCCTAGTCCTTTCACATGGTACAGGTCAGGTTTGAAAAGGTGCTAAGGCTTGCTGGTGAATTACAGCAGCGCATCTTGCAGACGGTATGTTGATGAAAAACATCAATGTTGAAGGTGGTTGATGGGCATGCCAATCAAGCTTTGTCCTGGATGATGCTGGGCTCTGTATACTTCGAGCAGCACCCAAGAAAATGGGCAGTATTTAATCTCTCCTGACTTGTGCCTTGTTGTTAGACAGGTATTAGAGAGACTACAGGCAAGTTACTCACTGCAGAATTTCTAGATTCTGGCCTGTTGTTGCTATTTATTGATATGGCTGTCCAGTTCCATTTCTGGTCAATAGCAACGCCCAAGATGCTGATAGTGGGGGAAATTCAGCAATGCTAAGGTCATTGAATGTCAAGGGTAGTAGCTTGATTGTTATTGTAGATGATCATTGTCTAGAACTTGCATGGCACAAATTTACTTGCTGATAATTCACAGCCTGGAATTTGCTCCAGATGAGCATGCAACTGAATAATCATGAATAAGCTGAACACTGTTTGATTACTGCACATTGCTACTTCTGACCTCATGATTTGGAGAAGGTCATTGAAGCAGCAGTATGGGCCTAGGCTGTTACCCAATGAGGAACTCCAATGATCTTCCTGGGTCTGAAATATTAACCCTAACCCCCATTACCAATATTCTCTCTGCCAGGTGTGACTAAAAAAAAAACAAAAACAAAAAAGCTTGGCTGTTAGCCTTCTTGTGGAAGACTGTAATGTCCTATTCCTGGGCCAGAAGGCCCCGGTTCAAGTCCCACCTACTTCCAGGAGGTGTGTAACGTAATTAGAAAATAGGTTTAACAAAAAAATAGCGTGCCCATTAAAAAAACTTGACTAGGCTGGGGATCTTGTGGCACAATGGTAGTGCCCCTAACTCTAGTAGGCCAGGAGGTCCAGGTTCAAGTCCCACATGTTCAAGGGATGAGAGATATTAAAAGAAAGGGGTAAATTAGCTAGACTGGGAGTGCAGCAGTGGAACACAAGTCTTCAAAAGTTTTGCTGGAATATTGGCCAGGCTCATACCATAATATCCAGTGCCTTCAAATTGGTCGAAGGCTGGCATCTGTAAGCTGAGAATCTCAGAAGGAGGTAGAGATGGACCATCCACTTGGCACTTCGGCTGCTGCAAGTATCTCAGCTACGTTTTAAACACTGATCTGCTGGGCTTCTCATAGATGACAGGGATATTTGTGGACCCTCCATCTGGTGTTAGATGTTTAATTTCCCACCAGTTGCAATTACACAGCTTAGACCTGATTCGCTGGTTGTGAACCGTCAGTGGTACTGAGAGTTGGATGGATTGCTGGTCACTCATAGGACATGCATGATTTACATTTGCCCCCATCTCCACTTATGTACTCTTCTGTTTCTGCCTTAAGCGTCATCATCATTTCTCCAAGAGGATTTATCTCAGGTAACTGTAAATTCTACATTGCAGGAGTTACTTGACAAGGCTCATTTACAGGTGTCCCTGGGCTCAGAAAGTAAAGACCTGGTTGTTGCAGGTTTGTATATTGAAAAATATCCAAACTTAACACTCAATGATGCTGGTTTCAATAAGAAAAAGTAGTGACTGGCACCTCAACACTTAGTATCGCAAATAATTCTACTCTTATTATACGCTGCTCTAGTAATTTATTTCAGTTTAAAAGTTTTTTTCCCCCACTTCTTTTATGGGATGCGGACAATGATAAACTCGCATTTTTGTCTGTTACTAACTACAACTGAAATGAGTGGCTTGCTAAGCCATTTCAAAAACCACCACATAGCTGTGAATCTGGAGTCTCTCGTACACCAGACAAGGATGATTGATGGACATTAAAATGACCAAATGGGTTTTTAAGCAACAAATCATTTTATAGTCACTAAAACTAGCTTTCAATTCCAAGTATTGTTCAATTTAAATTTCTACCAGTTGTCACGGCAGAATTTGAACCTGTGACCCCAGAGCATTATCCTGGATTAGGAGTCCAATGACAATACCACTTTGCCACCATCTCCCCTTAAGTGAGGAGGTTCACTACTTTTAGTGCACAACACAAATCATTGTAATGGATTGAAATGAGGGAAAACAACTGGAATGCACAGCCTCAGTATGAAAGATGTAGTATCAACTGTGACTTTCAAAAGGGAATTGGATAATTAAGGAGAAAAAAATGCAGGCCTACAGGGAAAGGCAGGGACTAGAAACTTTAAACTACTACATATCTAAGCAACTGACTCAATGGTCAAATATTGTAATGGGTCCAAGCAAGTTTTCCACACAAATATTAAAACTAGTCCATAACATTATTGTTGGCATCAGCAATGCACAATGACCTTGTATTGACACCCACATCATTTGAAATAATCAAAAGCATTATTCTTGGATCATGTGATTGTTTTTATTGTAGAAGGAAATATAGATAGAGGAACATTGTTAAAAGCAATTTTTTTTTCCTTTACAGTACATGTAGAAGACAGACTTGCTAGGGGTGGGAGCAGGGACAAGGAAATGGTCATCATTTCAATCAGGAACTAAAAATTCAAGGTATTAACACGCCATTCAAGCCATGCTGTTATTTCAAAAAAGACATCTACTTTGTCCTAACTTGTGCCAGTTTACTTCTTACTAATTGCTGGGCAATTGTGGAGGATGTCTCAATGACAAAACAATCCCAAATAACCATAAGAAACAGGAACCAGAATAGGTCGTTCAGACCCTTGAAGCTGCTCTACCATTTCAAGAGGATCACAGTTGATCTGATATTCATCACATCCATTTTCCTGCCCTTTCCTTGTAACTCAATTCACCTACACTCAAGTATCTATCTCAGCCTTACATATACACAAGGACTCTCCTCTGCACCCCACTCCCCCCACAACTCTCCATAGCAACAAATTCCAAAGACACTCAACCCTCAAGACGTTCTTCCTCATCTCGGTTTTGAATTCGTACCTTTGAGACTATGCACTCTGGCGTTCGACTTTATGCAGAACATCTCAGCATCTGCTCTGTCCAGCACGGCAGGCAGGCAGGCAGACACCAAATCAGGCATCATCCTACAGAACCTTCTCTGAGCTGTGTCCAATGAACCATAATTTTACCTCAGTCAACCAAAGCTATTTATAACTCCAGATGTCTCACAAGCACTTTGTACAGTTGCAGTAAGACGTCCCTACTCATACTCCAACCACCACTACATTAGCTTTTCAAATTACCTGCTGAACCTGTGAGCCCGTTCTATGCTTCATGTGCAAGTATTCCTACATCCCTTTGCGTTGCAGGTTTCTGCAGTCTTTTTTCAGTTAAATATTCTGTTTTGTTCATTTTGTAAGGGAGAACAATCTCAGTTTCTCACATTATACATGATTTGCCAGACTTTGTTCACTTCATTTATATTACTAACCTATCAATATCTGTACCTGCCTCATAACTTGCCTTCCCATCTATTTTGGGATCAAATTTGGCTACAATATATTTGTTTCCTTCCTTCACATCACCAATACTCAAACATCTCATCAACAATTGCTTTTGGTTGAAGAAAAAAAAAAAAAAAAGTGGTGTCACTGTCTTCAAAAACAAAAGGAATGAATATACTTGGTCAATAGAAAACTGCACACTGGTTAAATCCAATTTAGAAAGGACCCATTCTATGCACTTTAGTGGGGAGGCAACAGCCTTGTGATATTATTGCTGGACTGTTAATCCAGAGACCCAGGTTTGAATCCTGCCACAGCAGATGGTGGAATTTGAATTCAATAAAACAGCTGGAATTGAGAATCTAATGATGACCATGAATCCATCATCAATTGTTGGAAAAATCCTATCTGGTTCACTAACATCCATTAGGGAAGGAAACTGCCATCCTTACCTGGTCTAACCTCCATGTGACTCTCGACCACAGCAATGTGGTTGACTTAGCTGCCCTCTGCAGCTAGGGATGGGCAATAAATACTGACCTAGCCAGAGATGCCCACATCCCGTGAATTAAAAACCATTCATCACAAATTAGCAGACTTATAATATTCAAGTGATATTAAATCAAAACCACAACTAAACAATTCAGAAAATAAATTTTTCTGAAAGAAACGTAACCATCTCAGACTCAAATTTTAAGGGATATATTTGAAAGTGTGTTATGCAACCAGTATATTTCACCACAAGGTACTACTTTCAATTAAAAGGGGGAATACCTTATCAACATTGGCTCGTGTTTTTGCAGATGTTTCTACATAATTCACACTCCATAGGTCAGCTCTGTTCTTTGCTTCATCCACTGATACTTGTCGCTTGTCTTCCAAATCTGACTTATTTCCAACAAGTAGAAAGGGAACATTCTCGTCCTCTTTTACCCGGAGAATCTGTTCTCTGGAGAAAGTTCAAATTGCTGTAATTTAAAATTCTGTTCAAATTTAATCCGAAATCTGTTCCTCTTGCAGTTTGACAAAATGGGTGTTTAGAAAATATCGGTTAAAGAAATTATGACATATCTGCCTTTTCGACAATACGGTATTCAACAGAATTTTTAAAATATCAATATCTGTTTCAACAAGGCCTGCAATGCCATTCTCAACAGAATCACAGTGCATTCTAAAATGAGACACTTTCATGTACTAATTTAACATTTAAAAAAAGCTGAGAAGCTGAAGACTAAGCAAAATACAAGTGACATGAATTCAATCTACTCCATCAATCTGGACCAATTTGAAGCTCCACCATCTGGTCAGTAGTGGACTGAAAGTAAATTTTCTTCAATAGATCCAGCCAAGGATCTAGCATAGGCAAGTGCTACTGGAATTCAAGATATTATGTAACTGGTGGAGTTGTACAAAGATTCTAACGGTGGCTGAGTTATTTCCTACCCATATTACAGCAGAGGTTTACAAGAGGAGACAGCATTGTATTCACCTCGTATCCTATACAAACTGGACGTGGGAATGTGTTATGTGAAGAGGACAATTGAGAGACAAGACGGACAGGTTAAGCAAAATGGATAACGTGTAAGTATTAGCAGTAAGAACAAAGCAAAATATTTGGTGTTTCATGCCCTTTCAATGTTCAGAGACTCGTACAAGGAGTAGACAGTTAGCAAAGTACAGTAACTATTGTCACAGCTGATTTGCTCATTTTGAAGTCAGCCAGTATTATGCTGTTCTAAGGCCTACTCCTACTTATTTTCTTACACCTAAAAGTCACGTCTATCCTGTAAAATGCACAACTGCAATAGATTATGTAATGAAAATCTTCCATTTTCTTGAATTGGAAGTTGGATCAACGAAACAAAATTCTAACTTACATTAAACATCTCCATGCATTTTGTTAAAAGCTGTACTGACATTAGTTTAGGTGGTCTATTAACTGGACTGTCCTAACTCCTGCAAAAGGATAACATGAATACAAATAACTCAGTCAAAAGAAAATTGGAAGTATATAAAATACTAGTAGCTTTGTTCCCAGTACAGCCGAAGGATACAGAGAACTGAAGTCATAATAGTCAGGTCTATTAATTATCATTGCAGCACAACAGAAATAACCTTCAAAAAAAAGAACTTCACCCACAATGACTTCCTGAGTTAGTTTACCATTCAAGCACTGAAGTTGAACAGAAAAACTTCAGAAACAGGAAGATTGCCAGACGCTGCAGATACGGATAGTCCAATGTTACTGCTGTTGGAAACAGAAGCTAGGCAATTCAGAAGCAAGGTGCAGGACAAAAGGTTTAAGACAAAATGTAACAAACTGCAGAAAACTGCACCATTTCACAAAAACAATGGTTTATGCTAGTAGGATCAAGACAGATGAGAGAAACAAAAGGCAATAACCAACATGACTTTGTCCTCAATCTACACAGATATGGTAAGTGACTTGCAGAGACCAGGCCCCAAGTTTACATTGAGGATACCATCCTCCATGTTGCATAGTACTTGAGCTATGTAAAATAGGGCAAATTAATAAAAGATTTAGTAGTTCTATAATTGGTCAACCAGGAGAATCCACATCCGGTCACCCTGTTATAGGAAGGATATTAAGCTAGAGATGACTCAAGAGATTTACCAGGATGTTATTGGGTTTGGAAGGCTTTGAGCTCTCGAAAAAGGCTGGATGGGCTGGGATCTTTTTCATTGGAGCCATAGGTGGTTGAGAGGCGACCTTACAGAGGCTTACAAAATCGAAGGGGTATAGACAGGGTTAATTATAGGTGCTCTTTTCCCCAGGATGGGGAATTTCAAGACAAGGGGGCATGTTTTTAAAATGAGAAGAGAGATTTTAAAAAAAGACATGAGCGGCAATTTTTTTTGTTTTTTTGAAAACAAAAAAAAAAAGTGCCTTTTGTGTGGAATGAACTTCCTGAGGAAGTGGTGGATGCAGGCAAAGTTAAGACACTTAGATAAGTACATGAATAAGAAAGGATTGGAGAGATATGGGCCAGCAGGCAGGCAGGTGGGGCTAGTATAGTTCGGCATTATGTTTGGCATGGACTGGTTGGACCAGAGGGTTTGTTTCTGTGCTGTATGACACCATGACTATGATTCTAAGAGCATCAGAACTGTACATCTACAAATCAGTAAGTGACCGTGCATATTCCTTACACCTCCATCATCAAGTCAGAAGGCAAACATTGGATCAATGAAGCTTTTAGAAGAACATGCTCAGAGCACCCAACGTACCTGGAAATGAGATGCAAACATGGTGAAGCATCTCCACGTACATGCTAAACAGATTGAACAGCAACAACACGTAGACAGAGCAGAGTTTCTACAACTGAGATCAGATCAAAGCTTTGAAGCCCTTCTCGATGCAATCTTAATTTGTGGACGATTGAGGAGAAGATTGAATATTCTCATCCTCAACGATGGCAGAGCCCCCAGAATGCAAGTGTTTATGTCTAAATTCAATCTGAAATATTACTAAAGATGTCAGTCTTCAGCTAATTACATTTACTATGAGAATACAAAAAAAAAGCCAAGTGCGCTGGGGACAGCAAAAGCTATAGGCCCCAACATCTTGGCTTTAGTGCCTTAGGACAGTGCTCCAGAAACACATTAAAAAAGGTCCATCCCAGGTACAATGATGCCTATTGAAAATGTGCCCAGATATGCCAAAAGTGTGATCATTTTAACTGTCAATTACTTGCCCAATTACCTACTCCCAGTCAAAGTGACAGGAGTCAACAACAGCATTAAATAGCAGTACTTATTCACAAATCAGCTGCTCAGTGGAAACAAAGAAAATCAAGCATCACATTTCAAATTTTAAAACAATCCACGTGGAGTTAAAGGTTACAGCAAAAGCCGTACCCAAGCACCAAGATTACAGTTATATATACTATAATTTGCTAATTATACAATATTGACATATTGGACAAATAGAAATATTAATTTCCAAAAGTCAAACTGCTCAGAGTTCCCATACTGGATTTAATAAATCCTTCTGCAGGCTAATTCACAAAAAATTCAAACTTCCATTGAAGGACTAAAAGGATATGGAGTTTAAATATTAAATTTGAACTGTAAAAATCTTAAAGCAAAATTGTACACTGAAAGTGTGTTTAGGCTATTTTATTCTCAACTACAGAAGTATACGTCAATTGTACAACAGCAAAATCTGCCATGATTAGACATTATCAGAACAATCTGACTATAAGCTCTCAAGGTCTTTTCCTGTCACAACCTAGGTGACTCCTCACTTTCACAGTTGAGGCACAAACTGAAGAATTGCCCCTCTATCAAAAGATAGATTGCCATCTTCTAATCTCTTTTCAATGATTTGTATCATCTAACTACAAGTGTGGTGACAGATGACTGGAGAACAGTTAACATTGTGCCCTTGCTTGAGGGATGTAAGGAGATGCCTTGGAACCACAGATATGAGAGTCTGACTTTGGTGGCAAGTAAGTTGGTGGAGGTGATTCTGAAAGACCATTTATACACATTTGGAGGGGCGAGAATTGATTAGGGATAATCAGCATGGCTTTGTGCAAGGAAAATCATGTCTCTCAAACTTGAGTTTTTTGAGGAGGTAACCAAGATGGTTGATGAGGGCAGAACAGTAATTGTTTACTTGGACTTCAGTAAAGCCTTTGACAAGGCCCTGTATGGTAGACTAATTAGTAAAGTTCGATCACATGGGATTCAGGGGGATCTTGCCAACTGGATACAAAATTCACTTAAGTGTAGGAGAAAAAGAGGGTATTGGTGGCAGTGGTGGTGGAGGGTTGTTTTCCAGACTGGAGGTCTGTTACCAGCAGTGTTCCACAGGGATTAGTGCTGGGTCCACTTCTGTCATTTATAGAAGTGATTTTTAACTCAGAATATAGAAGGCATGGTTTAGTAAGTTTGCAGATGACACCAAAATTGGTAGTACAGCGGATAGTGAAGGAGGTTATTTAAGATTACAATGAGATCCTGATCAATTGAGTTAATGGGCTGAGGAGCAGGAGATGGAGTTTACTTTGGATAAATGAGGTATTCCATTTTGGTAAGATGAACAAAGGCAAGAATTATATACTTAATAGTAGTGTTGTAGAACAGAGACAGAGGTTTAGGTACATAATTCCTTGAAGTTTGTGTCACATGCAGACTGTTAATGAAGGAGGAGTTTAGTACGTTATCGTTCATTGCTCAGACCTTTGAGTAAAGGAGTCGAGACAATTAAGTTGAGGCTGTATATGAGGTTGGTGAAGCCTCTTCCGGAGGAGTGTGTCCAGTTCTGGTTGCCCTGTTTATAGGAAGGATATTAAGCTGGAGGGGGTTGGAAAATATTTACCAGGATGTTGCCGGGAATGGAGGGTTTGAGTTAAAAGGAGAGGCTGGGATTTCCGCCCCTCCCCCCCGCAACTGGAGCTTAGGAGGTTGAGGTTTATAAAATCATGAGGGGTACAGATAAGGTGAATGGCAGAGGTCTTTTCCCTAGGATGGGTAATTTCAAGACGAGGTGTAAGGTGAGAGGAGAGAGAGTGTTTTTAAAGAAAGAGGAGTAACTTTTTTTAAAAATAAACAATGGATCATGTGTGAATGAACTGCCAGGGAACATGGTGGATGCAGATACAGTTACAACATTGAAAAGGACATTTGGATAAGTACATTTGGATAAGTACATTAAGAAATGTTTGAAAGAATGTGGGCCAAGTGAAGGCAGATGGGGCTAGTTTATTTTGGGACCATGGTCAGACAAAGGGTCTGTTTCTGTACTGTATGATTATCTGAAATCATTTTATCTTCAATCCAAACATTGTGTGCAAAGTGTCTGGTTACCTCTACCTGAGGCTTAGTGATTTTGTTTTAGGAAATAAACTGGGGCTACAATGGCATCCTCTGGATTATTTTCCTCTCAAAAGCACGTTGTATGTGGTAGAATGCTGTTTAGCTGTGGTTTCAACATCCTCTGTCAAACTCCATTGTGTCTTGGAAGGAAATAGATAGCTTTGTGTTAGCATTAACAAAAAAATTCCTAATACCTCACTGGGACTTGGAAACTTAGTCTGGCCATTGTAAATACAGCTGCTCAGGTCATTTGCTTATAGGTGTAAATATCTTATATGTTTTTCCCAATGAAGCTAGTTGAGTCTCTAGTAACCAAGCCACCAAGTTTCAGAATCCATAACAAGAGACACAACCGCTTTTATAAAAAAAAAATCTTAAATCGCACAGTTATAACTAGAAGCCAGAATAACATTGTACGAGTTGGTTCTTCCAATATGGACAATCTACCAAAAATTCACTGTCTTTGCTTCAATTTATTCCTTTGCAAGTTGTCATCACCATTAAGTTTAAAAAAAAATCAGTAATGTTGAATGGTGTATAAAATTCACCTGAAATCAGCCGTAGCTGCAAAGGATTCTTGTTCAGTGATAGAGAAGACACAGAGGAAGCCTTCTCCACTACGAAAATAGTTATCCCTGATGGCAGCGTAATCTTCTTGGCCTGCAGTATCAAGGATGTCTATCTGGACTTCCTCACCATCCAGCACCACTTTCTTCCGGTAACTGTCTGCTTTTGTAGGTTCATAATCCTCAACAAACTAAAAAGTAGACAAAAGAACAACCACTATTTCAATAATAGGCTTTCTGATCTAAAACACAATTTTTTTAAAGCATGGAATTAGAGCTGATATTTGTTTATTTTCTCCACCCCACAAACAAAGACCAGCATTTTAGAAATCGAATCAGATTTTGAAATATGACTGAACCCATCTTTAAAGTACAGAAATAAACTTGTTTTTCCCTTACACTTCAGTTCTTATATGTTCACTCATGTGAAGACTCTTAGTTTCAAATGAGTGGATCTTTGGTGCAGAAGTAATTAAAAAGGAAAAACATCTCCAAGTTCAAGGAAAGTAAACACATTTAGGCTCCACAAGAAAAATTACTTTAAAAAGATAGACGACAAGACTACATAATGAAGCCAAATTTCATCACAATTTGAGTTTAAGAATGACTTTTAAATTCAGGGAGTTCACAAATTTAGTTTGTACACGGGAAACAGTGAATGTTAGTAAAGTGAAAAGCTCAGTAACCCAGCCTATTGTATTTCTTAGCAATCACTGCAAGGGTTGCAAACAGCTGGAGAGAGATTGTTTGGTTTCCAACAAGTGGTTGAAATGTGCTGCACCTCTTCCAGAAATATTTGACTACATATTCAGTATGTTTCATGGACAGGACTGCTACTTTCTCTAGATTCAGGTAGAGGCTGATGGACAATTTTTGAAACCAGTAAGACACCAAATGCAGTTTCAACTGTACAACATGAATAAGAATCAGCCGTTCATACAAGGGGAAAATTCCATTTCCTCACGAGATCAGATTGACAGTAATGGAGATTTAAGTTAACCAGGAAGGAGTAGAAGGGGTCGTGGCAGACGGGCCAGTTGCATGAACTGGCCGAGAATCCAGGCGAGTATAATGGGTAGTAATTGAGAAGGAATCGAAGACCTACAGGAATCCTGTAGACAAAAATTACCAGAGACAATTAGACTTGAGCAAGTTGACTAAGGCAGATACATGACGATGAATAGTGGGCTGACAAGAGGCAATTGGCAAGTGTCTTAAAGCAGCAGATAGAAGATGGCTTTCATCCAAGTGAAATATTTAAATAAGATTGGGGAGCAATGGTTAAAATTATTACTGCCTATTTACAGGGCAGGGGGGTGTTTGGGGGTGGGAAGGTTGAGAGATCAGTTAAGGGACCGTTTACTAGCATGGAAGTGCAGACTAGGCTCGAACGACAAAACTATTTCAAAAGTGAAGGTGTGTGCAACAGAGACTTGCTTGAAGAGGAGAGAATGCTGCATTTCTTACAAGGTAGAAGGCTTTGATTAGGCACTCATGGTTAGAAAATGGAGAACAGCTCAGAAAGGAGCGGGGGAGGGGAAATAAAAAAGGGGTCTGGTTAGGCAGAGAAGGAAAAGAAAATTAAACCAGCAAGTGATTCAAATGACTTAACTTTGTCAGAGACAATTTGGGAGTTAGAGGATGCACAACGTACAGAAAACAGATATTTAAAAAGCAGGAATACAATTCAAGTTTTGGGACAACAGAGTAGAGGATGCTTCAAAGAATGGAGGGGGTTGGGACAGAGCAAGACAAGTCAAATGACAACTTGGAACACGACTCATCCATTGCAGTTTCAACAGCGTAATGAGCTTCAAGATTGCAAAGACGTACCTTGGATCAAATTAAGGATCAGTTAACATTAGCAAATGTTCACTCTTTTGTAAGTAGTCACAGTTGTCCAATAATTTTATCTCATTCGACGTAGTGGATGGGAGAGCGGAGATGGTTGGCAGCGAGACAGGTGATGTGTAGGTAAGACTGGAGGTGCACAGAACTAGTTTGCATGTCTACAGCAGTTGCACTAGAAGGGGAATGAAGGAGGTGGTATTTCTAAATATGGGCAGTGAGTGGTAGGTGCTACATTAGTTTGAACATAACATTAAGTGAATCCCAAAGAACTTGAACCTCAGTCAACAGCATCTTATAACTTGGGTAGTCATGAATAAGTAAACAGCTGGACAGGAAGTTCAAAACCAAAATCGTGGTAGTTTGAAAATTAGAATTCAGTTATTTTTAAAAAGTAGAAATAAAAATAAGCTATCAAAAAGTGAGCATGAAGTTGCTATAATGTGACAACACCAAAGTGGCTTACTAATCTCCAAAAAGGGAAAGAAACCAGCCATCTTTATGTTGTTTCCTCCAGTCCCAAATCCACATGGTTGATTTTTAATTGCCCTAGCAAGTCACTGTTGTATCAAATCAAAGAACAGCAAGAATTTGATCCATGCCACAGCAGGCTCAATGGACTGAACGGCCTGCTCCTGTTCCTATTCCTATTTCTTATGATCTTTTGTAAGAACCTTAATCCGATACGGTTCCTGTTGTGCTTTGTCAACAGTTTGGAACACAAAATGACTCACCAAAATCTTCTTCGGCAATTTGCAATACATGCAACCCTGTAAGCATCAACCCTAAGCCAAGAAAGATGATATCCCAAGATAGTTGATTGAAACATGAAAATGAAACCTATTTAGATAAATTGTTTGGTAGTACAGTATTGTTTGGTAGTAGAATTTAAACGTTGTTAATAACACAGGAAGTTGAAGCCTTTCATCTTGCATTCAACAGGCCCAACACAAGAACACAACATTTTGTGCAATGAAACAGGTGCTATATATGGACAAATTTAAGTTTGCCTACAAAGAACAGGGTCCTGTGTGTGAAAACGTAGCTTTCAATTTGTAAACAAATCCCACTAACTGATTATCTTAAATTGGTTTCCACTACAATTCTTAGCATAAATTCCTCATTAATAGCAGAATCACATCTAATGTTGGATAAAGCATAGAGGTTTGCACGTACAGTGTGGTGACCGCTGCAACGGTTAAAAAGCACGTTTGATACAATCCACTGGTCATTAGTATCAGTGCTATACATACCCGGCATCAGAGCAATAAACTCATACCAGAGTACTCGGGTATGCAATAGAGAAAATGGCTTTTTGGTTTTAAAGCAGCATCCTGATCACGGGCAATACCATTCATGATTTTGCTGCAAAGTAAAAAGGAACGATGGCTAGCTTCATTCATTTTTTTGAATCAGCTTCCACTCTAGGTTGACTAAAAGTAGATTGGACACCTTCCAGTGTCAAAAGTGACAGCCATGTCTTTTCACTAGTTTGCGTGACATATAGCAAGTCAGGATTGATTTGTAGGCACAAGTACATTTGTCCACACATTGCACCTTTACCATTAATTTAAAAAAAAAAAAATTGTGCAGACTGCCACCTATATTGCATTCACCATGGCAACACCTATCTAATCAGTGTACCTGCAAGGTTTGAGGGAGTATAATGAGCCAAGATTGACAGTTAACAGTTCTTGCTGCATCTCCACACAAACCATAGTCCAATCCTCTTATGGTGTAGAAATTGCTATCTCTTGGGGGGTCCATTTTCCTGCATGTCTGTCCTGACAAAGATGAAAAGCTTCAACTTCGTGCCCAAGCAATGTGTATGATTTTAGAAAATTACACGTTTTCATTATACTGATGCAATTGCTCCATAAGAAGCTTACAAAGACATTTTAATTTCTGCCAATGTTTTCTAAGTTGGTTGTGCCATCCAATCTCAATAACCTGAGAAAAAATTGAGAAAAACGATCAACTGACAGATGAGTTACTGTAAATTGTGGTTTCTACTGAAAAAATAAAACCTCAAACATTTATTGCAAGCTACAGATCCTCAGACGAGGAATTCAACAGTTTGAGAAAAACAAAGATGACAAGTACTCTTACCTCATCATACATGAATTGTAGTGTCAAGGCAGATTTTCCCACACCACCACTCCCAACCATAATCACTTTATGGAGAGCCAAGGAATTCTGGCCTTTGGTCTTGTTTGCTGCCATTTTATGACTGGATGTGTATCACCAAAATGTGAAACTTGATAGATAGCAATTTTGCACCTAAAAGTAACAATGAGGAACAAACTCAGTGGCTGAACCGGAAGTCGATTTTGTAGATGAATTACAGCAACTACAAAAACTGAAAAGACCTCCTAGGACACACAAGACAGTGTAGAGACAAAGCATGAGAATAACCAAGAATCTTGGTAAAGTTATGTTACTTATTAGATTACCTGGGAAGGAGACATGAAATGAAAACAGAAGTACAATAGAAGCTAGAAACCTGAAAATAATTTCATTAAAATAGAGGACCTTCTGTAGAAGTTAATAAGGTCAAAATTAAAATATAGTGTCCTGTGTTACAGTAATGGTGAAATAGTACAGCAATTGGTAAAATCCATGGAATTATTCAGTAATTGGAAACCAGGAGGAAGGGAAGAGAATTATGCTCTCTGATCAGGTGACCTGGACAGACAGGTGACCTTATATCTAATCTTGTGACTGCACATTTACTCAAAGCCACCTCAGTGAAGAAGCAAGGCTAAGCACAAGTAATAAATTCCTGGGAGAACCTGGAAACTATTTCCCACCACAAGAAAAGATTTTTTGCATTTCAAAATTCTTGGAGGAAGTCTATACAAATGACAACACCCAGACATTAGTTGTGAATGAAACTGCAGTTTAGAAATTCAGCTAACACTCGACCTATTAGTTCTACTGTTCCGTGACTGTTTCCTTTTTCCTATTTCTCCTCAAACCTCCACTTGATGGACTAAAAGTGAAGTAACATTTGATTCTGCACATGAAATAAACCTAAAATATAGCAGAGGTAGAAGAAAAGATGAAAAGCAAAGCCAGAGGAATTGTGCAAGCAGGAAAATTACCACTTAATGCAATAGTCTCCTAACCTCCATAACCAAGACAGCATTACAGACAGGTTCAAGTTATTAAAATGCTGCTTCAATGAATTGTTACACAATAGATTGAGAAATCCTTTATACAATTGAAGAACACAATGTGGATTAGCATTCATCCAAACAAACCCTGTGTGTTTGGTGTATATTTTTTGAAACAGTTAATGAGCTGATGAACAGATTCCAAAAACTGGTTGTGCAATCATACAATTAAATAGGGCACAATCTAGACTTAAGGTAGCCTCTGCTTAATGCAGAATTTAAATGAGCACTTCTGGAAACCACAGTACAGCTCAACACCAGCAGCATTAGCATTATAATTACTGTCCAATATTCTACTCGGCCTTAAGAAGACTGCTTAATTGATTTTAGTCTGTCAGGCTAGAAATGAATACAATAAATTACATTAATCTAATTCAATCTTGAAACCAAATAAAACTGTCACCCCATTTGTCCAAACTGAATTCTAACTCATCATTGTTTCCATAAACAAACTAGTCTTCCATTATGCAGCAAACCTCTCAATTTGCTGCAAAAGTCATGCCTTCAATCATACGCAACATATTCTATTTGTGCCTGTTGACAGGGTTTGTTTTACATAAAACTAAACACTGCCATGGTAGTTAAAGATTACTTAAAGCTTGAGATTTTATTAGAAAGAAAATTATGGTTTTATTCATCCTAATCACATGTTAGTAATCAAATAACTGGAAGAAAGAAGTAACTAAAAAGCCAAGATAATTGGCAAAACACAATCAGAAAGAAAACAAGATAATTTAATACAAACTAGCCAGGTGCCTGGAGCATGAGACAACACTTCCAGCTCCAAAAAGGCAAGAACAATAGAAGAGCAACTCCAGCATCAGGTAGTTTCTGAAACCTGTGGTTTTTAAAAGGGAAGGCTTAAGGACCTGAAATTAAAAACAACTGCAAAGAAAGAACAGTCAAGAGAAATTGAGAACTGGGTGTGAAACTGCAGCTAAATAAAAACAAAACCAAATTCACCACAAAGTGAAAATTAAAAGCCAAGCCCTGTAATGATCAAATTATTCAGCTAACTACATTTGAACAGACTGATTTTTGGTTGTGCCGTAAGGGCATTATGGCAAACTGAAGTTTTTTTGCTTCCGCTCTAATTCTTTTTATACCCCCATTTGTTTTCTTTTGTGGTGGCTTGGTCGGCAGCATCCACGCAGCAACAAGAGAGCCATGCGCAGTGTGGTGGATGTGGCTTCTCCTGGTAATTGGAGGTGGAGGCAGCAAGGACATCCTCCTGTATTCTAAGCCAGAGACAGCACAGATGTCCTCCAGCTATTGGGGGGCAGCAGCAGCAGCAGACTCGGAGATGGCAGCACCAAGGTGATATCTGCAGTTGAAGCAAGATTCCTGGTTGCAATCACAGTAGGCCTGGAGCAGGGACTTCTGGTTATCAGTGAGGCAGCAACAGCAACAGCAGCAGCACAGCTGGTGACTGCAGGTTCAGCAGCATTAGCAAGGTGGGCCCAGTGGCAAACTGATGGTGCCTGAAGAGTGGCAGATCCAATGCAGGTGGTGGAGGTCTCTTTCAGTTACTGGAGGCTAGGTGCCAGCATGGACTGGTTGAAAAGAACTTTTTGTTTGAACAAAATTCTGAACTTTTTAAAGCTTTAGTTTCTTAATTTATTCCTATGATCTGTAATGCTGGACTTCTTATTTCTTTACTTTTCTAATTCTTCTCACCTCTCCACCGCCAAGAATTTATTCTTTGAATCTGTACCTAGGTACCTTTGTACCTAAAATGGCACCATAATGTGGCAACTTGTAAACTTCACACTACTCACTTGAGTACAGGACAATAATGCTAATTCAATGTTTAAATTGCACATTAGTGACTACACAAAAAGTAGTCATTTGACTACAAAGCAGCTTGGAATGCCCTGCTGTTGTAGGAATGAAAGTGTGCAAGTTGGATGCATTTAGGTCATAACTTGGAGTGGGGGGGGGGGGGGGGGGGGGGTGGAGGAGAAAGAGAAGAGATGACACTGGGGACCCTTTAGCATCAGCGACAATAATACATGTCCACACCTAAAATGAATAAAGACCACGAAGAAATCTCAGTACTGCTCTTTCCTTCCCCGTGGCTCCATCTGAATTCCTCCCCTTACAACTAGTTCAATTCCAGAATGGACTATGGAGAGAGGATGGTTGGGCAAAGAAAGATGCAGCAAGGGAGAAAATGGATGCATGAAGCAGTAATGTGAACAAATCAGTCACAAACTGAGATTTTGAGACAAAAACTTAAGTAATTGGAGTTTGAGATTTCAATAAGAGTAGCAGAGAGATGATTGGAAAGGGCAAGATCTGATCAGACATTTAGTACCCAAACATCTCTGCTACCTACCTGGACTTCAGGAAGACATGTGACAGTTGAACACAGCAAATCAATTCATAAGCTCCAAATCCATAGGCCAGATAAAGTATGCATTCTTTATAACTAAGAAATAAACAGTAAAGACTGGTCGACAAGACAAACTGTTTGACCTGCATCCTACAGATTCTGTTGAGACTGTATTTATAATTTTTTTTTTTTTCAATAAATGACTAAGACTTGGGGTTAACCCTATTGCAGGAGCTTTGGATATTGAGAGATCAAGTTGAGTGGAAAATTATTCATTTCTAGTTAAAATGCAGAATTATTGGTAATTTGAACATTTCAGCCAGCCTGATCATTTTATAGATGGACCTCCTTAGCTATTACGTCTAAAACTTGAACAAAATTGGGATTTTTCTAAAGAGGAGCCTGTGATCTCAGCACCACAGAAAGAGTGGACTTGCTGATAAAGATTATATTAAATCAAAAAAAAAAAGAAACCAAGTAATGACTTCATCTTCAACGTGCACAGTGACTAAGTAGCAATTATCAAGAATTCAACACTGACTGGAACTGCGAAGTGAATCAATCTCAACTTTCTTTTCTAAAAAAAAAAAAAAAAGGACTGTACAGTCTATCAAAGATGTACTCCAGGCCCTCAGGTTGCCCAACTGTAGAATAACCTCAGACTTGATCATACTGGCATTTGGAATGGGGATTTCTTCGTGTGGCTTTAATCTGCTAAAACTGATAGCTGAGAAATTAACTCAAACTTACAAGTCTTTAAAGTTAAAGCAAGAAAATATAAAAACTCATTATACTTAGACTCTTGATGCTAAAGTTGGGATTGATCAAACCTTAAGAGAAGTAGTGTTTTTCTATGATTCCTTAAGAATCAACAGCTGTCTCATCTACACATAGAAGTCTAGGCAACAGCTCTTTCAATGAAAGAGGAAATATTTAAATTTGTTGGAAATTCAAAAGTCAAAAATGCCCATCAACCTTAGCCTTGTAGCTGTTTTGCCACTTGATATCAGTTCACTATTTCACCCAATTTAAATTGATTTTTGGACTGCTGACTTCATGTCTCCCTTGCCCCTCTTGCACCCCCTCCCCTCAGTTCTTTCCTCTACTCCAAAAAACAGAGCTATCTTGACTTCAGACAGACTTGCACAGCTTAGTTCTCCTTACGTCCACTAGCACGTGTATTTTGAATACACCTTTAGATCACAGCCTCACTTCCAATTCCCTGTTCAACATCCCAATAATGCCCCCTTACTTTCCCCTACCCTTATGTATGACTTTCAAATCTCAATGCTCTCCGCTCTGACCCTCTGTACAGCACAAGGTTGGCTATCACTGCTCCTTTGCACATCTCCCTCTAGATTAGATGGCTTACAAAAAAGATCCTTACCATCAATAAGCTTATAGAAGATTTGTGCTTTGTTTTACTCAAGTTTATGCTTAACTTGATGTACTACCTTCTCAGTCTTTAACATGAGAAGTTTTTGTTATTTATATCCCCATACAGCTCTGCTTTGAACTATGCAATTTCCTGTAATGCTGCATGTCAATATACCCATGTCGCACCACTTAAATCAAGACAGCTCTTCAGACAAAGCTTTTCTTTGACTCTTACACTTGGCTACAGCCCTCAACTTCAAATCTCTTAAAGTTTACAATAAGCACACCATCAAAAATCACTAAATCACTCATACTTTTCTCCTTATTGCTTTTGTATCATTTCTTTACAAGATACTATGGAGACGAAAGGCACAACAGAAATGGATGTCAAA